GCGCTGGAACCTGCTCCATTCTCTGGCTTCAAAAGGCTCCCACAATAGCACCCTCGGGGAGGGGGCACTGCCGGCACAGCGTGGCCTTTTGTTCCAGCAGAGCCGGTCTCACCCCTCTTCCCTGCCTGGCGACAGCCTGTCCCCTCCCGGAGCCCGCAAGGCTGCAGGAGGGAGCTCTGCAAGCGCATGGGAACAGGGGTACCTGCGAACAGACCCTCCAGCAAGGCCCCTGCGAGGGAGGGAGAGGTGCTGTCCTCTCCCCTCCCCATCCCCGAGGGCCTCCAGGTCACCAAGCAGGGCCTGAAGGGAGCAGCACAGCCGAGCGAGAGCGACAGATGCAGACAAGAGCGCAGCGGGTTTATTCTCAGTGCTGTCCCTTCCAAACGGTGGCAGGGCTGGGTTTCCCCTTCATCCCTCGGAGACCCTGCAACCAGCAGAGCCTCCCGGAGCACAGCCTGCCCTCAGATAGGTCTTGACTGGCCCCTAGGACTTCACTGGCGGGAAGTGCGCTCTTCCTCCTCGTTTTCCAGCTCGTAGGCAGGCCGGTAACTCTCCTGGCCCTGTGCGTTGGTGTAGCGCAGCGCTGGGTTCTTCAGTGTGTTGGTCATGCTCCCCAGAGAGGTGTAGCTGCAAAGGGACAAGGCAGCTGTGAGCGGGACAGGTTGTGGCACAGGGAGCATCACCCCAAAGCAAGGGAGCTCACCTCCTGCCTTGCCCCTGCCCCAGCTGGGCTCCCAAGCCGCCCCGCGCAGGCAACAAAGCTATACTCAGCGGCACGAGACTGCTGAGCAGGGAGAGCAGCGCCTGACACTCACCCCTTGTCGTAAAGGATGCAGTAGGGGACAAAGAGCTTGCGCAGGAACTCCCAGATGTCCCGGTATGTCCAGTCCTGCAAGCAGAATTGGGCAGGGATCGCTGCAGAGCCAGGCAGGCTGGCGCCAGCTGCCCGCTGTCCTACTGGGAGGCCGGCTGGCCCCCAGCCCAGAGCATAGAGGAGAGCTGGCTAGTCCCTACGGGAGTCCCCCACTGCCCCTGCTCCCACGGCCCCAGCACACGCCTGTCCCCCATAGAGCCTCCCCAGGGTCCCAAACACAGGAGAAGCCAGCAGCGGGGAGGATCGAGCCACGTCTGAAAGTGCCAGGCACGTCTGGCTGTATCGAGTAGGCCTGCTGAGGCCGGACAACGCGGCAGGAGATGCTCTGGGGAGAGGTGGAATAGGAAATAAAGCCCCTGAGGGGGAGGGCAGCTTAACGCTGGTTTCCGGCCCTGTTGTGTTAACCTGCTATACTCACTCCCTGAGCCGAGCAGGGAAAACCCCGGCCCTGTCCCAAAAGCAGGCAGAGGCTGATGAAAGAGCATACCAGCAAGGGGTTCACTCGCATGTACTGGGGCCAGTCAGGGTCAGTCATGCACATGGGCGTCAGGGTGCACGAGTAGGGGTCTGTCCTCCGCGTCCCCATCAGCACAGCCTTCAGCTGGGGCTGCTGCTCCTTCAGGTGGACCAGGGCCTCCCGGATGGAGCCCTCCACGGTGCAGAGCTGGATCTCGTACCTGCACACATGGAACGAGCAGCTGCCAGTCGGGATGCGGGAGACGCTGCTCTGCTGCAGAACGGCCCCGACCTGCT